TAATTAATTCGATTTTTTCGTCATACTCCATTTTCTAAAATATTTATATTATATTATTTATATTTGTATACATATTTGCAAATTACGTACCAAAAGATGAAACTAAATTTTTTAAATATATTCAAAATATTAATTTCAAAATAATATACGCAAATGCAACTATGTACTACGAATGAAAGAACACGAATGCAGAAAAACGTCGCAGCGAACTGTTACGAATAAGAACACAAAGCGAGTTGCTGAACACTGGAAACTCGGCGCGATTCTCCTCTCCTCGTCGCCCCCTCGCACTTAAACCAAGAGTTGCCGGAACAAAAGTTGCTTCGTGTAATAGCGGACTTAAACTGATTTTTGATAATTGCAAAAAAACTGTCAGGTTATCGTAAAATGAAATATATGTAGAGACGTACACATTTCTTAGAGGAACCGCGCATTTAAAAAAAAATCACAAATGAGACAGGAAATTAGAGTTTTGCAATGTACTGAATGTAAAATGTTCCAAGTAAATATGAACTATATTAATACCACTTAGGAGAAATCGTTAACTACATTTAACTTTCAAGGTCGATTTGGTGAAAAAGGTGAAAACATGGGCTTGTAAGGTATGTAATGTGAAACAAAGGTCTCTGACTGAATTCTTTCGTGGAAGTGGCCCGGAATGTCGTGTGCTTGTACAGAAACTGAATAAGAATAAAGAGCTTACAGCATTGAGCACATTTACGTTTACCTCACCAAATCATATGGTCCTTCCGAGTGTGCAGCACACTTTACCTTCAGAATACAAGAAATTAAAGGAAAATGGATTTACAAGTAATGAGTCTGAATCAAATGATAAGGATTTTAGTGTAAGAAATGTTGATAACCATCAAAATAATAATATCGAGTCATCTTTGGAAAATACTAAAGAATTGGCTGAAATCGAAAGGCAAAATAGTAATAAACGCCCATCAAATGATTCCTACAAAAGCATGAAGAAAACGAGCAAATGGGATAAATATGTATAAATATTGTAAAAAAATATATATGTATGCATTAATATATATTATTTTTTAAATATATTAAAAAAAAATTATGATTTCTTTATTATGTGGCATTATTTATTGATCATAATTGCAATAGTGTTTACATTTTTAATTCAGAATTATTGGTAAACACACGGTATGTTATAAGTAATTTCCAGATAATCTTTTTTTTTTACTATTTTATGTGGATGAAGCGGTTGTTTCCAATGTATCCACCGATAAACATTTATATATTTTAATATGTGAGAGACGTTCATTTGAAATTTAAAACTACAAACGCAGTATTTGTATTATTATGAGATTAAGCGGTGATATCTTTTTTAGATATTTTCTCATCGGTACAGCTTTCTTCACCTTCAGCCATATCTGTTTCACCACCCGGACCACCTTTACCAGAAGAACGGCGGCGTTTGCGGTTTAAGCGCCATGGTCGGATAGGAAATTTCAATGCCGGTAACTGATCCATTCCAAGGACTTTGTAAATTTGCCTGAATGCAATGTAACGCAAAAACAATTGTGCCGAAACGGTTAGATCTTCGCGCTGCTGCTTAGTCAAATCATGCAAAGCATCTTGAGCTTCCTTTTCACATGGGTCTAAGAGTCCCGGTCCGTTAATAAGAAAACCAGAAGCCAAAGCCTCCATTATACGACGAAGACAATCACCTGGAGATATTGGGAAACCAGCTGATGAGATCACTTTTTCAACCAACAATTCTAGGGACCACTGTGGTAATGCCTGCCACGACTGGATTCGTTGACAAAGGTCACGTAATATACGTATTACCATTACACAGGATTGAAGCCCGGTCGCGCGTGCTTGGAACCATTTGGCGTGTCGCAATTCAGCTAAAGCCTTTAACAGAACAAGTTTAGATTCAGAAAATACAATTAATTTGTCGCAGGTCATACCTTTAGACACGGTTCGCGCGGCAGTAGTGCAAGATCTCCTGTTCCTCCGTTAACGTTAGCATCATTTTTGGCTTCCTGCGTAGCTTCGCGCAATAGGGGCGAAGTAAGTGAAATCTTAACGGACACTACATCGTCTCGCACAATGACAGCTGAGTCTTGAGCTACAACTTCAACCGTATATTCAACTGGGTTTTCTCCTAAAAGCAAAACGGATTTAATTAAAAACTATAAAAAAAAAAAAATTGAACATAGCAAAAAAAAAAAAATATAATTATTTGCAGACAAAATTTTTTAATTGCATATCGAATATATGAGTTGCTTATATAATATGGGTTGAAAGTGACAAACATGTTCACCATTTAATTATAATTGTACACTTTGTTGCATTAACTTGTCACTTTTACCAATATTCAGATAATTAAGAAAGCAAATGTTTTAACCTTTGTGTGGCTGGGACATTTTAAATACTTGTATTCACTCTCTTGAGATAATATATTAATTATTTTTTTAAGGGCTGAAAAGTCTGTTAATTAATTGACAGTTACCTTTCGTGTTAATCTGTCAGGACTCATGCACTCAATACATCTGACACAGATCTCAACATTTTTAAATTCTAAAATTATTAAAAAAAAAAATATTTTTGCCTTTTTATCAAAGTTCGCTCATCTATTTGCATTTGACTATTTACAGTGATCCAAAGATCTAAACTACCTATTATAAAGAGTCGGCCACATAAAGGTTAAACGTATATATGTATAATTCCATTGATTAAAGCATCCCCAGTAAGCAGAGGTACAAGGCATGCATTAGACGGATTTTAAACTTCAGAGAATTCAAAAAACATGAGCGCATGTACACATCTTTCAATGCAGGTACATTCTGCCTTTGCACCTCTCTTTACATTGTAGCACTTTTGCGATTCTCTTACATGTCACTAATATATTCATAAAAACTTTGACCGAAACCAATGTCAAGTAACGCCGTGAAATATTTTATAATAGCAATTTGTACCTTTGGACCGCAAGTTATAGTAATAACTCTTTTTGTGCCCTAACGGTGGACAAACTTATAGGCATCGCCTTATACACTGGGGTATTTTATTAAAAAAAAAAACCACTGGCGTAACTGTCATTTATGTTTCGGTCACAATTTTCTCATATCGAACCACGTCTTCTTGATATTCGATACACACAAAACGGCTAGCCAACAGCGAAATGTTGCTATTTGTGACAACAAACATAAAAGAAGTGCAACTAAAGTATGCATATCAAATTCACTTAATTTGGAAAGGTCTGACCGTTTTGTTTGTGTAGCTATTTGAAGAGCTTTGTTTCATATGTGTTTTCACCTTAGAATTTATTTCGAAAGGATTTTATTTACACAAAGTTAGATTTGCTTGTAAATTCACTGTATAATGGGTGGCGAAAATCGCGAATCATACGGATGAAGCGACGAACTTAAGTAGTAAGTTATAATAGCAATATGTTGGTCCTAAAACTTTGTATAAATATATTCCTTTATTTGGGCCACTCGCACATAGGCGCAGAGTACATTTTACCGTTCAATTTCCAGTCCAGCAACAAACAGCGCAATAAAAGAAAGATACTATGAAGGAGGAGTACCCGTACACGTACCCGCACCACAATAAAAGTGAAGTAGAGTGAAGTTGAATGTCCTGTTCACAAACCTCAAATAACCAATCTCAATGGGACAATGGCATGTATATCCGGTGAAGAGCTGAAAACACCAACAAATATGTTTTAGTTCGTTCATATCCCTTTTCTGTAAACAATACGTATGCGGATATGCATAACTCCACCAAAACACCATTTTTCATTTGCTTTCACTTTTTCCATACAAATTGCCTTTGCTTTGTTTGTATATTATAACATCCGTTTATGTATATTTTTCATTATTAATTATTAATCGTGCAAAAGCCCATTCATATTATGCTTAAATGTATTACATACTGAAATTGCATAAACTTTGGTATAGTTCACTAAGGCATGAAATTAACCAATTTATATCAAATCATCGATTAGCGGTTGTTCAGAACACAGCGTAGAAAACATACGTTTTCAATTTAAGCTATTTCTTTGGAAAAAGTTACCACCCAGTCTTTCTGATTTCACACCAAAACTATTAGAATTCTTACTAGTTTAGGGTAATCAATCAGAAATACTATATACTTGTTACAAATATGTAATTTTTCTCGGAGACGAATCAAGCAATTTCAATGACCTCTTCATGGCTTTGGTGTAAACTTAATTATAAAAATTATATTAAAAAAATACATTCGTTTATATGTGTAAAATAGGTATTCATGAAAGCAATGTATGTAGGTCATTCAAACTTGAAAAATTCATATCCACAAAAATATACAAATACATAATATAATATATACATATGTAAGCTGTTATACATGCACTTACCTGCCACTTCCTTTAATTTAGATGGCAATTCAACGGCCACACGTTTTAGTAATCCAACTGTTGGTTTTTCAGAACATAAAACCACTAATTCAACTGCATTATCCCCCTGTAATAAAAGACCTTTGGCCAAAAATCCGACTCTCATTACGCCCTTAAGAATGCGTACGTTTCCGCTATCAGCCTCTTTTTGGAATGATAACATTTGATTATCGCGTCCGTCCTTTACCTGAGCATTCTCAAGTTTTTCTTTTTTATTAGCTGGACCCTTTTCATCTGCATTCTCGGCAAGTTTATCCGATACAAATTTAAGAGCACGTTCAGTATGTGATACGATGCGTTGTATAGTTTGCAATTCTTCCTCTTTGGGATAAATCTCTGCATGACGAGCAATTGCATGACGATCATCAGTACTCTCAGGACGACGTATACTTCCACCCCCACCAGGCATCATTCCGAAGAAGGGTGGTGGACCATTACCCATGCGACCACCAAATCCACGTTGAGCACCTTAAATTTAAATAAGTTGTAAACTAATTTGCAGCAAAAACTATTTTAATTGTAATTTTTTACCAGCAAAGCTACGAGCTAACCAGTTGCTGTAATCGTATTCGTCATCGTACTGCGCCCGGCGACGTTGTTCATCCCAATACATTCCGCCACTACTCTCATGTTCATCACCGAAACCAACATTACCACCTCGGTGCGATTGCATAAGAGCACGTTGGGCACGTGCTTCAGCTAGTCGTCTTTGACGTGGAGTGGGCTTAAAGTCGACTACCAAATCCGGTTGGACCTTCCGTTTATACTGTAAGCGATGTCTTCGTCCTTTCATGTGCATCTCTTTGGCATTGGGATCGTTAAATTTGCAATCACATAGTTTACAATTGAAGCTTAGGATCTTCCCTTCATCATCCTTAATTTCTTCAATATACTCGCCACCAACTGGTTTAATATTATCAGTGTTTTCTCCGGATGCAGCATTATCATCTATGTTATCTGAATTATATTATTGAATTAATATTTTTGTAAATAGTAAATGAGTTATAAATAGGGCAATACCGTTGTCGTTGACACTAGTATTTTCGCCTTCAACGTTCTCTGTATTTTCAGTAGAACCACTGGCTGGGACAAAATTGATTTTTGATAACTTCTTTGGCTCATCTGGGGGTATTGGTTTGCCAAGTTTCTGATGAAGCTTAACCACTTTTTGATGCTTTGCGCCACGTACATGAGCAGCATAGGCGTCAGTACCAGTGCATGTAACATCACAAAGCTCACAGTGGTAATTATTACCACGATTTTGAGCTGCAGACTGTGCAGTGGCCTGCATTTTCAAAGATGCCTCTCGCTTTTTGTGCTTTTGACCTTCCAAGTGCTCACGATAAGTTTGAGGTCCCGCACATGAGATCTTGCATACCTCACAATAATGCAATTGTTGCGGCCGTGGCGGTGGTTTGGTGCGTGGACGTGCTACATTTGCACCACCACCTGCAGCGCCCTTTGGAGCTCTATACTGCCAACTATTGGCAGAGGCACCATTAGCATTCGGTTTAACAGCGCCAGGCTGGTGTTGCTGTTGAGCAACATACATTGAAGCTGCACTATAAAGAGCCGACTCGTAATTGCTGTACGCATTAACAGCCGTAGCAGTGGTAGCTGCTGGAGTGGCTACTGTTTTAGCAGCTCCATTTGTTTTATCTTTAACACCAGCGGCTTTGGAACCAGCGTTTATATTTTTTACGGGTGGAGCCGAATAATGTGTTTTACTAACTGTAGCTGCTGGTGCCGTGTTGTAGCTTGCTGACGCTTGCTGATAAAATGTTTTCGATGCGTCATATGCAGGAAGTGCGCGACCATAGTCGCCGTAACCTGCATAGCCGCCCGCTCCTGAAGCGCCAGCAGCTGCATAACCACCTTGACCAGCAGCAGCAGCAGATTGATACGCAGCAGCGTTAGCATAGGTAGCGTTTGTTACAGCTGGATAAGATACCTGCCCTGGATTGTATCCGGCACCTCCTGCACCATATTGAGTTCCGCCATAACTAAAACCGGCATAATTATTATTAGCCATTATTTGCAACTTTTAGGAATCAAGAAAACCTAAAGAGGTATGAATAAAAAAAAATCAATAAATGTGACAGCCGCAAATGGATTGGAAATTCTGATACTTGCCTGAAAAGTTATTCTTAAAAAACTTGACAACGAATACTCGTCACCAGTTTCTATATATTCTTTTTCAGAATTAAATAATTATCGCAGAGCTAGAAGCTAAACGTTTTGTGCAGATATTTATACCCAAAAGAGTTGAATTGCGTTTCTGAAAGATGGAAAAATTTTAATCGACGCGTCATTTGCCGAAGAACATCTAGGGGTTGATCGGCACATTTTTACATTTCAAAATCCAAACCACAATTTCAATTAACTCATACAAATAATAAAATGATATCGAAATATTAAATAAATAAAAACGCTCTGAAATATTTGTAATTTTGTATTAATTACCAGCAAATTACACTTAAATATTTCGGAATAAACTCCACACCAGTACTGAAAAATTGTCGGAAGTGCACGAACAAATTATCGATTATTTTGTAATCGACATTTTTGCATCTGGTTAACAACCAGAGTTTACGAGGTTACAATAATTAACATTTTTATTGAGTTGATTGTTGAAATACCAAGATTTGTATATCTCTCTGATTGATACTACATGGTATACATAAAAGAAAATTTGCAAAATACTTCTAAAATTTGTGAATAAACATTTAAGTTTATATTGTTCTTAGACATAAGTATATTGTATACACTTCCTAAGGATCATTAATTTTGAACTAAGCAACACTGGTTTTACCTCCGAATAGGAATAATAGAACACGAAAAATATTCTTATTGGTTTCTCGTGGTTTTGATAGGTTTAGAAATATATTGTGAATCAAAGAAATTAAAGTAAGAACATAGTTTTTAAAATTAATGGCGTGCATATTGCAGGGCAGCATTATCCAATAAAATACATTTGAACAATTAGCTACCTGTCTTTACAGTTTTACAAACTTACGCGCTACACAACCATTTTGGTCGCTTGCTGTGTAGCTGAAGGTGAAGACGATTTGCAATTCTACTGCCAGTGTTTTTATAGGAAGGGCATTGTTTAATAATTATTATAGTATTTTTTGCTGGCATAGTGCCTAGCGATTTCTGTAAAGCTGGACAAGCTGGAAAGAAAGGTGAAATTAACGAATATCACAAACTTAAGCATTGACGATGAGGAATATTTGTACAATGTCACCACTGACATTGAGCATTTCATAAACCAAAGGCATAGTTCTAGGTGAGTAGAACGTTTGGCAATGCGTATATGGAGGAAACAACCAAGGTGTGGAAAATGAGTGTTAATGTTACTGAATTATAATTTTTTCGGGGTTTGTTTATTATGAAACTCCGTTGATTTTTTTTAGTGAATTGTTATCTTTCATAGTTTATACACATATGTGTATGTAAAGAAAATTAAATTGTATTTTTTCATTTAAAATAAGCGGCTAGGTTAAACTATTCCTTACAAAAAAATAAATTAATAACACCTGCATGTGTACATATGTACTATACATACATTTGCAATAAGAGACCATAGTAATGTTTTTAAGCGTTCAAGTGGATTTTACAACTTTATATGTGTACATATTTATTTTTACATATGTTTATACATTTAATTATTTTTTTGCAAGACTTTATAATGAGAGGCATGTAAATATATCTTATGTAGTAAAAATATATAAAAAATCACGTTTCGCTCCCATCGAAGTGGTACCTACTGGTTTTTGTACATCTTTCTTTTATATGTGCCATTTTGTTTTTGTCCTACTTGTGGTTGGATGAGCGGTTGAACAGTTTTTCTTTGGATGTGATATTTTCCTAATGGAATTCGTTACGCGGTATACTTAAACTTGTTTTAGTAACATAGTTATATACATATGAGAGGGTGAGAGAGGGCTTCGCAAAACCTAAGGCTGGATGTGAATCTAGTATCTAGTTAAATGTTATCACATACACATCTATGAATGTAATAGCAATCATTTGATATTCCAGGAAAGGTTTAATTCAGAAACATAAGAAAATGAATTGAAAGTAAATGTATGTACAAGAAGTTTTTAAGCGACTTCTTTCTCTTGACATCTTTTATTTTCCGCTTTTGAAAACATTAACTATATGCAACAGCAATAACAAAATATGTGAGGCAAATTAATAATGTCAGGAAAGAGGAAATTTCGTATGTGTCCTATAAGGAAGAATTTTGTTCTGTGATAACAAATTTAGTAGTCAAGAGTCAACCAAATAAATCTGTTAATTTCCTTATACATATATAGTATATTTATCTAATAAGGAGTGATTTACAAATTATTTTTATTTGTAGCTTCTTGAGTGTTACTTAAACTTTCTTACTTGTTGGTAAATTGTTAAAGCATTTTATTCATTGCTAGAATCGGTTCTTTTTTGTATTATTAAGAAAATAGTAGATATGAACAAAACAAGCGCTTACATATCAACTATTTTTAAATTAGATCCTAAATATGGAACATCTTATAATAGAGGAAGAAATGGAGTAATAATGGAAGAATGGAATTCTTAAGAATCGGATTTGTTAACGCTATAATTACTTTTCCTCACTCAAAACCATACTATCAACTTAAACTATGCCTTGTTTAATTTATTACATAATATTCTCTCTGTATATTTTTCTCTTCTGATTTTACTCTTTAATTTTTGCTTTTTTATTTGAACACTTACCTATTGTTGTGAATCAACCGTTTCGTACATTGACGCTAGACTATAACAAAGGAAAACTTTAAAAGTTAGAGGACTTAACATATTTTGCCATTCTGTATTAACCAGTTTTTCTGTAATATTATTTTGTTGCAGCAAAATAATAATACACATTCCCATATATAAAATGTCTAATTTTCTACGTAAATACTTACTATTTAATCGTTGCAAAATATTAAAATATTTGTATAAAACTAGAACTGCAAACAAACGCGATAACAATTAAACTTCGTGTAATATAACACTGATCGGTACATATGTATGTATATTCATATTTACATGGTATTTACTTGAGAATATTTGTCCATATTTTGCAGTGTTCTACTTTTTCCACCTGTGAACAATTTTCGCCGTTTCCTTATCCATCAGGCATGTGAGCAATTTCGCCAGCAGTACGATCTCTTCACTTTTTCTGTGGGGCAGGGGCCATTCCGCCGCACTGTTGTCTGTTTTCGGAATCAATTATTGGATCCGAATAAATTTACAGAGTCAACGGCAGCAGCAAACTTTGAGTCGTAAGTATGTGCTTCACACTCTACGTACATATTTATGCGCACATACAACTGTGAATGCAGAGTAATATTAAAGTAAAAATAAAAAATAAAAGTAAAAACTCTTGATCATTATTTTTGTAATTTTTTCTACTAAGGCGAAAAAAGTCACCAGTAAAAAATTGGCGCAGTGAGCGAAAACCTGACGGTAACACGAACGATATAACTTCAGTTGCTAGACAGCACAAAATCTCGATTGGTAAGATGGGTGTGGAGAAAAATGGAAGTGAAACCCGCTGTAAGTTAATTATGCATTCATATATATTATTTATATATAATTATAGAATTAGGATATTTATAGAATTTAATATCGTATTTATTGACTTATTGATAAAGAAATAAGTTATCATGCTATAAACGCAAGTAATATGCCATACAGCATATTTATTTATCACTCTGGTGACTACTGAGTTAATTGTAATATATTTACAAACATTTTTTATCGATTTTCTAAATTTTATGTTTTATGTATCATTCTTTATAATAAATGGTATATGTTCATTAAGAATATTCTTACTCAAATATCTACACGAACCACAATTCCCATATAGGTATAAATCAAAAATATGTATTCGCCAAGTCATCGTCTATCCAAAAATATAATGAAAGCCGGCTAAATATTGTAGCTATCTAAGTATCTATACATATACATTCTTATACACATATGTGTGTATTGTTTATTTAGTGCTTATACGCGTATAACCGTATATACAGACAATACGTAAATTGGGCAGAGCGCTTTACGGCAACCTATGATGAACTCCAATGCTGAGGCATTTTTAAGCGTTTGCGCTACATAGTCAAATTCAAGGTCGCTATTCATATTTAGTTTTCGTCTTTTTCTTCGTACCTTCACTTCTCACTTAAGCTCAGCTCGCTGGGTATCTGCCAAAAATTTGTACGTGATGTCGCATTTGCGTCTCAGGGTCGAGTAACCAGTTAGCCAAGTCAAATGCCACTCCCCTTCCACTGAGTACTCAACAAAGTTAACAAATTTTAATTTCTTTGTTTTGGTTTGGTAATTCTTTTATTTACATATTTATTGAGTAACAGTAAATTAATTGGATGGATGAAAAAATAAAATAATTGAAATAAAAATGAAATATTACTTTAATTTTGTTGTTATTAAAAAATAGCAACAATTTTAAATTGTGCTCACTTCAAGGCCACTTCAGGAGAGCGAGCGTACTCTCTCTAGCTGTACAATTTTAAAGATAAAAACAAAATAAAAATGGCCGCAAAACTTGGAAATTTGGGTCAACATTGAATTTCAATTCAACAAGTATTTCCACATTAATGAATTAAATGCATGCATACATGTAAATACATATGTACGTATTTGCATATAATACCAATTATTTAATTTTGCGTTATTTATAGTAATGCTGTGTTTAAAAACAGTTTATCTCTGCATAAAATTGGTTTTTAATAATCATTAAACATTCCATTCATGAGTAGATATAAAACTAATTGAAAAATTAAGATTAAAATAAGTTGGCGTCCGAAATGGTTAGAGCAACTGGAGAAAATACAATTTACTGGCTTCGTCTCTGACAACAATTTCCTATCATTAAACAGGATTTGTACAATCGCACTCGAAATTCCAACATCTCTAATCCAGTCGTAAAGGCTTAAAAAATTGCCGAAACCTCTGAAAATGTTAATCGGATTATTCGAATAATTAACAAAACTAAGTTTTGACCTAGGGACAAAAGGTCAAAATTCTTATCTCGTAAATGACTTTGCCGATTTTAACCACGTTATTCGAGACACTCATTTTCCTCTTGGTAAATTTTTAGAATTTGTAATAAATATCAAAATAGTGCATTTTATATGTAGTAACTCTGATCCAACCCTCATATACCGATATTCACTGACTGATCCATAACTGTATATAGATTAATATATGATATATCTTAAAATTAGTTGTTTTAATTAAATTTGTAATAGATCGAAAATTTATTTTAACAATTTTATAAAATATGTTATTTATCTCCTTTACAGTATTCAAAACGAACTCATTAGATCTCTATCGACCTCCAGCCTTAAGAAATTATAATCAGAGTGGTGCTTCGCCTGATGGTGTAGCTGCCGCCTATAACCTCAGTGCAGCGGCGGCAGAACGTACAACAACTGCGACTGACAAAGACACACTGTTATCTACCTCAATATCATGCAATAATTCCCCGACCCATGCAAATGAGAACAACAGTTTCGATAATAATGCAATGACCTCGAGGTGCGTAAACGAGGATTATGGCACAACAAAGACAACGACTACAAGCATATCGGTAATCAAATCAGAGGCACCAACAAGTTGCGGGGGTATGGAAACAGCGCCAACGACAACCGCCGCAGTCAGTAGCAAATCTGGTCAGCAAAGGTAAACGAACGAAGTAGCAGACATACAAAACGCACTCGCGAAACCCACAAACACATATGCGCAACAATATTGCTGAAATTCCTAAACGAGTTTTATGTGTAATATATGCAAATTATTGTGTGTACAAAGAGTTTCGACAATGACAGGGAAGAGAGGAGGTTTCAATATTTCAGCATAATATTATGTATGTATTTCGATAGCTCATGATTATTATATTCAATATTTGTACATGCACATGTCTCTTTGTATGTAGGGCGAACGAATAACAATTTTTATACATTATTTATATAGTATATTTGTGGGAACTTTTTCGTAAAGTAAAGCCCTCGAATAATGTTTAGAAAAGTGTGACATTTTTAAAATAGTATAATTTTGGATTATTTTTGTGCCGATCCGGTTTGTTGTTGTTGTTGTAGCGGCAGAATTCTGCCGTATTCACAGTCCATGACCGGATAAAAAATCCGGGCCCGTTCCGGTTACGTAGACCCGAACGGTGCCGATCTGGTTTCAATAATAGTAGTAAAATTTTTTTTTAGAATATGTATTTTATATTTTGATATACTTTTGAATACATACATATGTTTATTATAACATTCATCATTATATACCTAATCCCTCTCGTTAGCTTTTACTCATTCCATATTCCATTTAATTCAGATCTTAGATATAAAAATATAAAACTTGTCTACCTAAAAGTAAAATTAGGACACTTTTCCGGTATATCGTAAAGGTTGTTTATCCAGGAACTTTTTTATCTAATAATTTTTTTTTTTGTTAAATTTCCTGAAATCTCTCTTATTCTGTGAGGAATATATGAAAATTAGTATTATTCTATTTCAGTAATGGTCATATGACTGAAATTATCTCAAATTTAAATTTCCTGTATATTTATTACGATATTTTTTGCAATAATGCAATCAATTAAAATTGGTTATTGTGGTATAACTGAAATCCAAAGCGTACGAGCACTTACATGAAAACTACGCTCCAGTACAGGTCTAGCCGCTAGTTGATAGGAGTAGCAAGAAGTTACCTCATCGCAATCCAACGTGTTTAACTAGTTTTGTTGCATTTTACGGAGTTCTTTTGTGACTTACATGCCATTTTGTTTTGCTCCTCTCTTTCTTAGTTTCGTATGTGTAGGTTTCTGCACTTATGTTTAAGTGATTCGTTCACCTGTCTGCCGCACATTCACCTACTTACCCCGAAACACGCAAACGTGCTTACACATATGTACATATACATACATATAATTGTTGGCTGTATTGCATACAAGTATGTATAAACATCGAAATATGTGGATATATTATATGGTGTGTAATGTGTTTGCTCATTGCGTTTTGGGTTTTTTGCTGTTTTTATACACCTTATTTACTTACATATATGTATGTATATGTTTCGTAGGCAATCGTCAGCTGTAAGACGTGAACGTCGACCAGATAGAGCGGTGTATATTCCAAGGGCACGACGCAGTCAAACTACCCCGCCAACGACGCCAACTACCACAGCTGTCGAAGTAACACGGTTACAACAAAAACATAGTAAAACAAATGATACCGCACCTTCGGCTACTTCGTTAGCTCCGACGCCAACAACGACTGCTTGTAATAATAATAGCTGCGGCGGCAGTAATAAGCAGCGTTTGGCAATTACTTCGGAGACAAGAGCGTCAGTACAAACTGCAGCGCCGACCAAGCTGGACGATACATCTGGAAACAAAAGTGCATGTATTGCAGTTGTTTGCATGGGAAAGAAGACGAAATCTTCTACAGTAAACAATCGCGAACGCAGAGAACGTTCTAAAAAGTCTACTCTCAGCGTGGAGGCACAAGACGCGAAAATATCGAAATTGTCATCAGAGCGAACCGAAACGAAAACAATACGGAACTTGCATGATTCAATAACACATACCGATTCGCTTGATAGTACAGCTGTTTTGATAAGTCAACAAAAACAACCGCATTTGAATAGTGATAATTTACCAAATCTACTGTTAATGGAACAACAACCAACAGAAGAACTAAAAATAGCACCGGAAACCATTGTCAACAACGAAATGAATACTAATTCGAGCAGACGAAGTAAAATTAAGCAAAGTAATACTGAAAACGCAAGCAAAGTGCAGAATTTACGAATAGAAGATGTGGCATCAACAGAAAATGGTACAAGGAGTACAACTAAATGTGATGCAGAAGCACAAGAGTTCCAGCGAGCTTCGAAGGTAAATTAAAATTGACAAAGGGTAAATAAATTGCGAAATTTCATGTGAATATGTGTTCAGCTTCATGAAAATCTTTAACTAATACACGCAATCCATTGCATTTGTATGAATGCTTACATATCTTTTTATATAAGTTCAGTGACTAACGATTTAATTAAATGAATAATTGGTTATAATAATCAGTTTATTTCGCAAAGCAATTCTTAGTGTTATATATGGCGATTTATTTCGATCATTACTTGAGGCAATTATTGACAAATTTGTTCAAATGTACATAAAAATTAATTTGAATGAAGTTAATCGGAATAAAAATAAATTGCGTGAGAATTTTTAGGTTAAAAACTGATCATTACTCTGATTCTAAAACAGCTAGATTGTATCATCAATAGAAAACCATTTTTATCCATAACTTACTTGAATCCTCGCCTATTGTCTCGCATATTTGTCCAACATATATTTAGTATCGCTCTGGTCTTCATGCGTAGTAGGTTTTACTTTTGAATATAAGTTATTATATTTGTATATTTTTGTCCACTAAAAGTATTTTCGAAAGATTTTATATTTACTATTTGGTACTCGCTGTGTTTTATGCTATTTTCTCTTTTTTTTTTTTTGTAAAAAAATGTCCCCCGATCTTAGCACAAACTTGGTACAAAATATACATATAGATTTACTACAATTTTTAGCGTTCTTATGAAACAAATATAATTATCTAATTTATTTTTATTGAAATACGCTGCTTCACATTTATTATTCGCAGGAAATAAATCGTAGCAACCGACGGATTATTAAGCAAACATTCGTCTCAGATGTACTTGAAATTCCGGAGAAAATCGAAAATGGTAAAGAAAATGATAAGGAATCTAGTCGAAAAAGTCCAAATAATATTCCCATTTCGACACCACATCGCTCTGCCGTAGATAGTACCACAGAAGAGGAGGAAGAAGACGACTGGGAAACTATGTACGATGATAGCGGAGAATGTTTAGATCCGAAAATCATGCAAGAACTCACAGCTTCGGTGGGAAAAGTGAAAATCGAATTGCCAAAAATGGATTATAGTGTAAATATTAGTCTGGAAACACATTTAAGCAAATGTTTTCATAATCATTAATTTTTATTTTAACATACAGGCATATCTTACAAAACAGTCTATACTCAACGATGAGGAATTCCCGCACGTACTTGAAGTATCAAATTTCCCTGTCGAATTTAAAAATCATGACCTTCTTATGGTTTTTTCCCAATACAAGGAATCTGGTTTTGATATTAAATGGGTGGATGATACCCATGCCTTGGCTGTGTTCAGCAGTTCCCGAATTGGTAATGGGTTAATTAAATAAGACATAAAACCTTGTAAATATTTATGAATATCTTTGTTTTAAATAGCTGCTGAAGTCTTAACCATGGGCCACCCATTCGTAGTACTGAAACCATTAGCGGAAGCTACAATAGAATCGCGCTTAAAGGCTAAGAAATGTGCTGCATCTCTGCAACCATATCGTCAAAGGCCCGAGACGTGTGCAGCACTCGCACGTCGTCTTGTTACTGGAGCTTTAGGTGTACGTCTGAAAACAGCTGCCGCAGAAAGAGAGAACGAGAAACGGGTACTACGCGAGGCTAAGGGTAAATTTTGTATTTATTTTCAGTCTTTAATTCGAGTTGAATTCTATATTTTTGTTTCTCTAAAATATTTTAGAACGTAAGATGTTAGCAGCTAAACAGCGAGATGAGATATGGGAAAGCTAGACATCATTGTCTGTATTATATTTGTGGTACTATTTCCTGCCTGCATTTTAAATAATAGCGGACTATAAATAAACAAAGAAAATCGCTTTAAATGCGATAAATTGCACTTGATATATCTTTTTAAAGATATCCCAATAAAATAGTTAGACATAAGAGAGTAGTAGAGAATTTGTAATATATATATGCTCAAAGAACTATTTTGTAAATTATTAAAATTTGAGCAGTTTATTTACATTTAATTGTGAGTACATAAGTTAAAATTTATATTAGATGCCAATATACTGAAAACTGCAATATCGAAAACATAATATATGTATATTTTTGCAATATTTTTGTGGGTAAAATGTGAATTATGGGAAACGATCTATACACAATACATGCTATTTATGAATGTAAGAGATTTTATTATATGTATTGTACATTTGTGAAGTTGTTTCTTTATAAAAGGTTATTTTGAAAATAAATCGTGATTAAGCTGAACATTTATATTGAGTTAATTTTATATGAAAAAATGTAAAACACAGATAAGCACAGGCCAACAACACTCAATTTGCTTCTTTGAATTTATCAACTGATTCTAGTTAATTTGGGCGCGCTGAATTCAAATCAGTAATCCGTTTGTAATCTCTATCAGCTCTAGTTTTCATGATATAGCTTATTTATACCTTCCACTTATGACCTCCAGTTATGACCGTCTGTCAGTTTTAAAAAAAATTTATTTTAATCTTTTCTTATTTACAGCTATAGTAGTTACCACAAAAAAAAACACATTTTTTTCGGAAAACAATTTTTAACCCAAAATTTTTTAATTGCTGCTATAGTTATCGCCAAAAAACAAAATGCCCAACTTTTTTTTACTATTTAAAAAGTACAACTTTTCCACAGGAATATAAAAAATTAAAAGTAAAACTGTTTCATACAGATTTATTAAAATAAAAAAAATTCTCACAAAGCATTAAAAATATACGTATATATACATATATAAATCTAGTTACAGAATGTAAAGCTTCTTTTAAGAGACAATCTGGAATGAAAAGCCGGATCACTTGACCACTGAACTTATCCAGCTTTATTATTTCCCAAGAAGTTTTTTATAACTTGCTGGAATGATGCCCCCGCATTTCATTCAGTTTCGGTTATTGACTTATCAAAACCGCTGTCATTCATAAACTGCGTTATTTGGGACCGTCAAAACCTAGTGCTCTAATCTTATCTCTACTTAGGTTAGTCATTTTGCTGCAAATATATGCAAAACATTCCCCATCGCGATTCAGAGCCTTAACAAACTTCTTCATAGGTCCTAATTTCATGTGCAACGGTAGTAAAGCGATCCTTTCACGTGGAACTAAAGCTTCATTTACAATATTTCTTATCGCCAACAATCATTTTTTCTCTTGTAGGCCTATATTTTTGCCGTCAATGTTGTTGCTTGCATCTGCTATCCCAGAGACACAAAAAGCAAGGGTATTTAGTATAACCACTCTGTGTCCAAGAAGAAAATTGACCATTTTAAGATCAACACAAATGATACATTGATGGTCTTGGTATTTTATCTTTTTCATCACTAATGCAATGTTATCTTATTCTTCTTTCATTGTTGTGGAATGCGCAATTGGAATTGATGCATACACATTGCCATTGTGCAATAAGACGCACTTCAAACTTCTCTTGGAACTGTCCACGAGGAGACGCCAATCGCTAGGTAGATACTTGGATAGCCACATTTCCTGCATAAGACCATTTATATTATTAAAAAACACCAGATTGTCTTCCTTAGTAAAAAATGTTAAAAAAGCTTTATCCCTGGTGCGGTAATAAGTTATTTTTGTTCCACGTTCTAACAATTTCTTATCTTTTAACCTCGAAGCTAAAATTTCAGATGCTTCTTTTGATAAGTCCAAATCTCGAATTAATTTATTCAACTCGCATTGATTAAAACGTTGAGGAATAGTTTCTGTGTCTTCGAAAACACTGTCGCAATCACTCAGTTTTGGAATGGGGAATTGGACGGCGTGCTGACGGTATATCGGGATACTGACATTTATTTCAATTTATCATATTAATACCAGCAATGCTTACTAAACCGAAGTAACAGTCGTCCAAATGATTTCTGGGCTTTCGCCAAACCAAACTTAAGCCTATTTCGTTTTCCTTGAGTCCACTGTCGCATATTTACACAGCAAGTATTGCACACAATGTGTGGAGCCTAGCTTTTATCTTGGTCACCAAGATCAACTCCAAAGTAATCTAAATACGATTTTTTAACCAATTCCGAAATAGGTCTTATGTTTTCTTTAAAGGTGTATTCTCCACAAATGTAACAAAATGTGTCAGCGCAATTTTTAGACCGTCTTCTATTGAAAGTCATTTCTATTTAGATCAACACTTTTCAATAAACTTTGTTAACTGCAATAAATCACTTCTTACAAGCAACTAACCAGGAATAGGGATGTCCAATTTATTCCAATGTGAGAGCGCTTCAAAATAAGCATTTTGTAACATTTTCCAATATGGCCAAATTGAACATAATAATAACTTTTGGGCATTTAAATTAAAATACCCCCATTTATTACGAATAAAAATTACTATATACTGGTTATTTATTATATGGAGAAACTATATAAATCTTTTTAAAGTATATTAGAACAACTGACTTTTGACCGTTCAAACTTAATTTATTTTATATCATACTGGCATCATCAATAAACTTCGACACCTTGCCAATAGATGTCGCTCTTTACATTTGATCATATGTTACGTTTGATAACAGCTGTTTTCTGTGAAGTGAATAAACAGAAGGCACATTATAATATTAAATTAACTAAATATGATTAAATCTTACATACTTCGTGAGCTTCGATATAATCGATTAAGTATTCCATTTTTGCGCTCGTTTAATCATGGATTTACGGAGGCAGGGTCACGGAAAAGTAAAGGAAGTGAAACAGAAAAGGTCGCTCCTTCTACTGTCACCAATTCTACGCCAGTGGTAAAGATTGTGATGATAAATACTTTTCAATATACTCAATTTATCAATTATAAATTTAGATTAAGCATGAAGTATCAGGCAGCGTCAGTCACAAATATCAAATATTCCAAGATGCGGATGCTAATGAGATTTTTGACGTTGAAGAAGAACGTTATCGGTATCAAAATGAGCCGGAGCCGAAAAATACCGAACACAATGAATATTTAGGACTGAACTTAAATCGTACGTATACTATCTGAAATAAATTATATTTCGTTATATAATATAAACCATTTGTAGATGGAAAACATGGTGTATACGATGTGGAAGATCTGGTTGATGTATTGCGAAAGGAAAATGCTGAAGATGTCTTTGTTTGTTCTGTTCCTAAAGATTTAAACTATGTAGATTATATGGTGGTATGTAGTGGGCGCAGCTATAGACACATGTTGGCGATTGCGGAATTTGTAAGGCGTATTTATAAAGTAAAGCGTACGAAAGGAGATATTTTACCAAAGATCGAAGGTGAAAATAGTCGGCAGTGGATGGCATTGGATTTGGGTATATACACATTTATATCTTTTAATGAAATACTTGGTCTAAAAATATACACTTGGTGCATTAATTAGGTAATATTGCTCTGCATGTATTTTCACCAGATGCACGCGAACAATACGATTTGGAATCGTTATGGGCGATAGGAATTGAGTATGACAAAGAAACACATAAGCCTCAGGACCCACTTGTCGAACTTTTTGAAAAACATTCTATAACGCTGGGCGACACACATCCTAAGGGAACAATTACCAGTCACTAATAATACCATAATATGTATGTTTTCATACATTTGTTTTTAGTTTGTAGTAGTAATATATTTAGTTAATTAAATTAACAAATTATTTACCAGTTTATAAAATTATTTGAGAACTTCTTATGAAAGTCGTATAAACTTTGGAAAACAAATTGATCCTCTATTTTATCGCCATAGTTTTTAATTAAGTAATTAATAGTTTTCTCATGAATAAGCGCAGCATTCCAACCTACATTTTTGGCGGCTAAGTAATCTGTAGTCGGTCCGTCTCCAATATGTAAGCATTCTTCAGGTTTTAGGTTCTCCAAATTGGACAACTTCAAGGCTAAATCGAATATTTCAGGACTTGGCTTTTCGACATTGCTATCGTAAGAATTAATTGTGAAATCAAAATAATGCTTAATTTTCATATTACGCAAGAGTGTGTCTAAGCGAGGATCAAAGTTTGCTATAACGCCTAAAGCTATTTGTGACTTCAGACTACTGTGGTTATCATTAACGTCGCTATCATTATGGTGTGCAGCGAGTTGTTGTTGTAAACGTAAATAATTGAGTAAATCCACACTTCCATTGCAATGCTGCCAACAAAGGCTTGTTTTGTAAAGTTCAAGCAGATGATTAGCCAAGCTACTTAATTTCTCTCCGGGTATCAACGAGCCACTGTCCGAAAACGTATCTGGGTAAGAACAAAATATTTGAACACAATTATACTCATCCATAATTATTTATTAAACATACTTCCAATAAGCTGATGCCACCATTGTTGCCAGGTAATGCGGGAATTACGTCCGAAATTTGGATATTTCCTATTCATTATATTCCTAGGCAAAATAAAAAAAAAACTGAAAAAAAGGATGATCGAAAAATTTGCCTTAGTTTACCAATTAGCCTTAAAACTTTGTGCGAGTTCAGCGTTGTCACAGAGTACACCGAAAAGTGCACCGATCTCTCCATATTGTTTCCCAGGACTGCCACGAAACTGCAGTAACGTATTAGTGACGTCGAATGTGATTAGACGTATACGACCTAAAGCACTTGACATGATTATTGTACGTAGGCAGTCATCAGCAGCACTTGTGTGTGTTAAAATGTTTATGTCTATTATTATTATCAACTACGCCGGCAATACTTCTTATATGAGTACTTGTATTTGAATACGATGCTATTCGATCAAGACTTTCCCTAGAACTGTTTAAGCGTTCAGTGTGCTTTTGCTCTGTAGCAAATCACGTCGGCGTTTTGGAGTTGGATGTCTTATCAATAAAAACAAATGGTGATTTGCTCTTCTGGTGATTAGCCCGTGGATGTTTGATTATCTATACGCACATAAACATACATATGTATGTATGAACATTATGAGTTATAAAGTTTAATAGGTTTAGAAATGTATTAAGAAAGCATAATGACAAGATTTTTGTACGTAGATATCTACATACATACATATGTATCATGTTACACTATCCCTCCGCGATATCTGGAACACGTTTCATTTCTACCCTAAGTATTTTATTATTTTAGTAACGATTTCTATATCATCAGAAATTAATAAACCGTTGTATTTTACATAAATTGTGCTTTACGAAATTTATAATTAAATAAAAAAACCTGAAACTCAAAATTACTTAAAATCGGTTATCATATACATATGTATAATTTGTCCTAATAAATAAATTTTTGTTGGTTGTTTCTTTTATCTATTTTCATCACTTTTATTTTAGACGAGAAATGTAGTATTAATACGTATTGTAGTTGTGGTATACACTCCAAAACTAATTTTTGTGACACGGCATATGATGAAATCCTCGACAGGAACTATTATGTCACTGTGTAATTGATGTTTGCCCACTTTGAAACCACAACTTTGAATACTGTAGATCTCAACGAGAAACTATTGTGGGTGTTGAGCTGCTTATACTCATTGCAGTTAATTTAAGCTAATATATGTATGTCCATATTTCATTTGCTTGAGATAAGTTATTATTTGGTGTTATTTCTTTATGGGTGTAAATACGTGCCCTATAGCCTCATTGCTGTAATAAAAGAATATTTTGTGCTGATTAATAAAAACACTCACCTATTACTTCTAGAAAATATAGAAATATTTTACACATTGCCAAATCATTAATTAATTTGGTTCATAAATAGTTGAACGAAATACACAGATTACAAAGGCTTTCATCTTTACGGTGATTTTGAATGTTGTTATGTTTATTTATTGTCTTATTACATTGAATGTATTAATTGTTTTAAATTTTTTTTATAAGGTTCAGCCTAAAAGTATGCTACATTCTTGTAACTGAAAGTAGTTCAAAGCAGAGAAAAACTGTGGCATGGGTAATAAACGTGAAGAAATTGGACTTTAATGCCTTTATGTTCGATTCCCGAAATCCTTGAAACTCTAAAATTTGTTTTTTGTTATATTTTATTTTAATTATAATATATGTATGTATGTAATAATTCAGGCAACAGTTCATTCATGTAAAATAAATATGGTAAACACATACATTCTTGAATACACGTTTGCTAATGCTTACTACTAAGAAGCTGTCTCTATGCCGCGATGTCTGAATTTTGTATTCCCGGAAAACTAATAAGGTTGTGTAAAATGACTTTGAGCAATATCAAAAGCTTCGTCATGATTCGGAAAGATATCTCCGAGCCGTTCGATACCAAATGAGGTTTCACACAACAACTGCGCCTTTAGTTCTGCTTTCTTCAGAATGGATAAAGAAATGTAGCAAATGGGTCTGGTAGTGAACGAGCGCAAAACGAAATATCGACTGTCATCAAACGAGCAGTCGTCGAACTAGCGACTAGGCTTCCACGTCACTATTGATAGTAATAACTTAGAAGTCGTAGAATATGTCGTCTATCTTGGAACCAATATTAACTCCAACAACAATTTCAGCCTCGAAATCCAACGCATCATAACTTTTGCGAACAGATGCTACTTCGAACTGGGTAGGCAATTGAAAACCAAACCATCTGATGAATCGACATTACGAGTTTTCTAGAGAAAGGTACTGCGAAAGATTTATGGTCTTTTACGCATTGGCCAAGGCGAATATCGCATCCGGTGGAAGGATAAGCTGTATGAGATATACGACGACATTGACATAATTCAACGAATTAAACAACAGCGGCTACGACAGCTGGGACATGACGTCTGAATGGACGTAAACACTCCAAGCAAAGGAAGATGAAGACTTCCACTTCGTTGGAAAGACCAGGTGGAAAATGACCTCCAAATGGACAGATAAGATCGAATAGGTTTTGCAATGTTGCCCAAGTATATTCAACGACACGAAAATTGTCAACGTCTTCGAAAGTTTTTTCCAAAACAAAATTATAGGATCGCAGGGAACTTAGAGACGTTGTAAGCATTAATTGAGCTGAAGTTTTTACTAAACCGATTTAGTTACACAGAATTTTTCTTATGATATCCAAATACATGTTGGTAGATTTAATGAAAGTGAGGATCTATGACTTTATTTAATATCAGTGAGTGCGTAAAATACATCAATCTATTGGAAAATCTGCTCGTCGTATTCGAAATTCATTTGTGTTTTTAGGTTACAGTCTTCATTTTATTCGTATGCACTAACACATAAATTTCATACATATTTATGGTTATAAGTATATATCAACATGTATGTATGTATGTGCAGGTATGCAAGTAAATATCACATATTTCGGCATTTCTTATGGCTCAATCCACATATGAATACGTGTCAGTTTTATTAATGATCGTGGGAAGGGAATGTGCGATGACTACTCGCAGCTCTCTATTCAGCCTGGTATGTACGTAATGCAGACATATACATTAATCCCACCGTTAAGGTCGTTCTAATAATTTTCGAGAAAGTGGAACAGTATCCGATATAAACAATTACATAAATTTATTGTGTGGTACCAACCATAAGCCTTTTGGACTGCAGTATTCGAACCTACTACTATATACACTATATGCCCAGACATCAGTTCTTGAACGAAAACTTAAATGGCGTGTCCTATGTCTGAAATGATTTTCGATTGGCCACAGTTTCCTTCAGTCTGACATCAAGAATGGAAATATTTACCAATTGCTTCCAAAGAAATATAACGAACCAACCTAATGCGCATTTTCAGGAATATCAGTGCGAAGTTATAAACGCATGCCACTGACAATGTGGTTGCGCGCACCTCGACACGCGGCGACAGTCACATTGATATGCCGAAAAGTTTCTCGATTATGCGAAAATGCTTTCTGAAAACCTCAACACAAAGTCAAGTGCATTCCTCATACAAAAAGGCCGCAACTTGAGCGTAGCCAAAAAGAAGGCGGTAACAAAAGCAATTGTATTTATAATGGAATTCATAGCATGCGCACATATATGCACATATAAATATCGGTTGTTATGAAATCAAGTTAGTTTGTCTATATGTTCGTCAAATTGTGTGAACCGTAAGAACATGTGGCAAGGTAGTGAGCCCTAGTGGGTGTTTATTAAGTGGGCAGTTTGGACACAAGCAAAACTTTGAATAGCAGAACTGAATTGAAAAGTTCATGCTTCTGGGTTACCAGTTGCAATCGTATATCTATACCCAATTCCACTCTTGCGTCCTCGCCGCGCACCCTGTGTAAGATGCGGTAGGCAACCCATGTGGAGCCTGGGGTCACGGCTAAAAGAAAGATTTGAAGGGTTCGTTGAAGTCTAAATGCGGAGTCTGTTCACCAGTGGTGTCGGTCTTGAAACAAGTGGCTTGCTGTAAAAATCTATGGAAAACTTTATGCTACTCGCCTATCGAGGTCGTGCGCTTGGTTTGGGACCCGCCTTACAGTGTCCACTCCAAATGAAACGGAAAGGAATCGAATGAAAGGCTTCTGATAACGACCACATCATTCTTATTGGAAGAAAGACTCAGTCGTCGAGTTCTGGCGTTCACACCGGTGAATGAATATCTGGTGTCTAGTTCAGTATCCACCGGTAGAAGCTTCACTTCACTCAATTGGAGAGAATAGGTGGAGAGGGACCTGGCTGCACTTGATATCTCCAATTGGCACCAAATAGTGAAAAGAAAAAAGATTATATAAAACTGATGAACCTATTTCTATCAAAAACTGGAGCGTAAAAATAATTCAATCGATTATTAGAAATATCCAACTCTAAGCTCCCTCATTTTGCGTTCGCTTCATTCTAATTTTCCAAGTTTACTATCTGATGTATCGCGACTTCGGCTGTGATGTTATTGGAGTTGCTTATATTGCGAGTTGAGTGTTTGCCCGTTGCAGCGGCGCTTTTCCCGTACTCTTTCGCCTTCGTACAAGTGCGAGTATTTGCATTGCTGTCTGTCCTTTTATTTCGAAGTTCGTCTGCCATTGTTACATATGTAGATGTTGGTGTTGTTCGGTCTGTTTGCTGCTGTCGCTGCATAGCCACATCGGAATGCTAAAGTAAATATAAAACTTGAACCGAAAAATGAAATTGCTGAATAAGGCAGAATGTAATTCCAAAGAAAAACATAAAAATAACAGAAACATAAATTCATTCATCCGAGGGGGTCTCCGTCTATGCGCCACTGCTGTCGTTGTTATTGTTGCCGTTGCTGTTGCAGCCGCGTTCTCGTCGTGGAGTAACTCTGCTGATTTGGCGTGTGCGCCTCTGCTTCTGCTTCGGCTTCAGTGCTTACTCTGCCTGTGTTTGTATGTATGTGGGATGTGCATGAAACATGATCAGTTCACGGGAATGGTGCCTTATGCACATATCGTGCGGTCATTTGTGTATGCTGGCAGCAACAGCAACAGAAAAACCAGTGTCTTAGCTGTTTGTGTGCTGTCGGCGGTGACGTTTATGCTGTTGTATTTTTCTTTTTTCTTTTTTCAAAGGTCTTCGCAAGCTAACAATAAATATCCGTACATTTGTTGTTGTTGTATTATTAGCGCTGCCTCGCATGTCGATGTTGCTGGCATTCGATGGCATTCACGACGTTTATTTTGATGCAGGAATGCGTTATCAAACGACAACAACACGCCGTCTTGTTCTTTCTGTTGTTGTTATTTGCTTACAACATTTGTTTCATGCCTACTATTTCTGGGCAATGTGCTGCACTTAAGTTTAGTGGGGGAGTCCATTGAATTCCATTTAGCTTGATGTAAAAAGCTTTTATTTATAGATATTATTTTAGCGAAGCTTCAATGGAGAAAACCGGATATTGTTGTTCTATTACTATGTGTGAAGGAAGGAATGTGAAATGCCAGAAACTTGGACATACATATGTATGTATATATCTATTTATGGGTTAGATTATCTAGGTTGCTCTTCTAATTCAGAGCGATATTATAATTTTCGTGAAGATGGATGCTTCATCATAAAATCAGAGAAATGCTAATCGCATTTTTCAAAACAATATTAAGACCCGTTTCTGCGTCTTGAATATCGCAAGCAAGAAAACATTTATTGGTATATAAGAATACTATATACCAAAAAAGCTTTGTGGAGCTTTTAATGGCGTCATTTTATGCTAATTATGATGTCACAGCGAAGCACAGTCCTACCAGATTTTGTTACAATGGTTTCATCTGCAC